GTTCATTAGTATCTTTTAATTCTTTTTCTATAAATATTTGATTAGTTTCGATCTCAAATTAAGTTTCAAGACGCTTTAGGAGTTTTTGTGAACAGGTTTGGTAGTAGTTATGAACGCTGTTTGGATCTGGCTGAATTTTGTTGTTTGGCTGAGGGAGTGTTTGCCTTTCCAACATAGCAGGCAGGAACATGTAGGAGTGGCAATTAACCCTTGTAAATTCCCGTCCATTTCACTCTTGTTAGGGTGGTTTTGGGGAAGTCCCAACCACGTTAAAATCATATTTGCGGAAGAATTGTGCAACCAATTCCCATTCAGGATGGTTCGTTTTAGGCTGGCCTTTCTCCACCAGGTTAAAAAAATAAGAATCAACCCTCTTTTTTTGATCTAATCTGTCGTGATCGCTTTTGGTCACTGGTTCAGAATTATCACGTCATCTTTATCCCCTAAGATTCGTGGTCATTTTGGCTGCTCATCATCACTGGTTCACTATGGCATTGGGTACCCTTGCACATATTTTTTCTCTCTCCTCACACATTCTATCCAAGATTTGAGTTGGCCTATTAATAAAATGAGGAGCTTATGAGTTTTTTTCCACCAAATTGTCCTCACATTTTTTGGAGTTTACATATTGGAGTTATGTTGGGTTTTAGTAGTGTGAACTTTCTTTTTAATGTACTTTAGTTCTGTTTGATTACTGTGTGCTAAGTTTTAGAAGGCTTATGTGAGTTGGTATTTTAGTGTCTGCAAAGAAGATTGAAAAAAGAATGGGAATGTAAGTCTTGTCACTTTACTTTACATTGTATTGAATTTCTGCCACTAGAAAACCTCATATCACTTTAACTAACACAATCTGAAGTTGTCAAACACTAACCTATTTCCTTAATCTGTTATGTAAACCCACCATTTTCTCTTGTAGTTTAGCCTACCAGACAAAAACTCTAGGCTGTCCAGTGCCACCTCTTCAATCACGGGCTGGGATTTTCTTTGTACTAGTTTTTTGTACTAATAGTAGTAATTGGAATTTAAATTCCATCTTAATTTTTCTGGTATATATAATACTCACACCTTCTTTTTGTGCATAATACAGGGCACAGATAGAATAGACAAGGCAAATTGGATTTTTTGGGGATGTTTTTCTTAGTTCAATGCTAATTTTACAAGACAGTAAATATGAGGTGTGGGATTACATAATCCGTCCATCAGCTGACAAGATACATCATTTTCACGGTAGTTATTATGCATGTAGGAATAATCTTTTGTCTTCTTATGTATGTCTCTGAATTATCATAGACCTCCGATATGTTGGTATATTAGAAATATATAGTCGGACATTGAGTTTGCACCAATTTAAAGGTCGATGCTAGTTTTCATCATTACTTTTTTTTCTTTCTTCCCTTAACTTTTTTTTTTCTTTTGATAGCCATTTCAATCTACTATTCCTTATAGTTGAATGCATTGGCTGCGATTGAACCCTTACTCTTTACTATTATTTGTAGCAACATATTATTATACTATTCTTGAAATTTTGGTTGGAAAATCCCACATCTGGAGGCTAACCAGCTTCTGTTGTTAAATGTAGTCTTCCATTATTAGTCTTTTTCGTGAATTCTCAGTTTCTAAACATTTTATTGATCTATCAAGGGTTGATTTTATTCTTTTTTTCTGATACAATATTCTCTTACTATCCCTGTCTCCTCTTTTTTTCCTCTTTATGTTATGCTTGGACTGGATGGATATTAGAATTGCTCATATTTCACATCAGTTTGATCCTCTCCAGTTTATTGCAGATGCAGTTTTATGAATTTTGCTAGAAATGTACGATGTCTCAAATGCAAAGCAGAGGGGCCTAAGAGGGTTAGTGCTGATAATGTTGAAATGAAGAAAGGAGATTGGAACTGCTCACAGTAAGTTGATTACAACTTGTGTGTTTTGATTTCTTTTCATCTGGTTTGGTGGACACGGGATATCTTAAGTTTTGACTGTGGCATCAGGATACTCCAATACCATTGTCCTAGTCTGGCTTTTGGAGTTTCTCATGTGGTAACACAAATTAAAAGTCAGACTGTGGTGCCATCTGTTTATCTTATTGTCTATTCCTTATTTTACTCTCTGAAGAACACCATCATATTCTGTCAAAACTTGAGGGGCCATAGGAAATACAATTTTCTGTGAGCCAAACCTAGGTCTAGCATGACCGGGAAAGATGTCATCAATTTTGTCATAGCACAACCTGCAAAGATGTAATCAATTTTGCCATTTATTAAATTACGAGGAAAACATACCCATCTTTACTTGACAAAAAAAAAGGAAGAATAAAAGATTGTGAAGGAGTGATAGGCCTCCATGTGGTTGACACTGCTTGAAATTCATGGAAATATATTTCTCAGGGATGTCTTTGTTTCTCTCAGTATGTTGATCTCATTGTAGGAAATGGGGAAGTAATTAGATTTTGGGAAGATGTGTGGAGGGATGATAGGCCTTTTGCATCGTTATTTCCTCGATTATTTCAGTTGTCACTTTCTCATAATGCTCAAATTGTTTCATTGGTATCATCCTTTGCTCTTTCCATCAAGTAAAATTTTAATCTCATGAGAACCTCAATGATAGGGAGGATAATGATCTTTGATCTCTTTTACCCTTGTTGGATATATTCTATGGCAGCCAGTTTCCGATAAAAGTGGGTGGTCTGTTCTTTCAAATTTTTCTTGGAGATCTTTCTTTGGTGCATGGATTCATGATCCTAACTTACCACAGTTTGAGTCTTCTAGATGGTCTGAAAATTAAGTGTCACTTAAATTTCAAGTATTCTCTGGAACTATAGTTCCAAAGAGACTTAATACTTATGATTTTACTACAAAAAGGAGACCTCGTATATTTTTGCTTCCCAAGTGGTGTAATTTGTGTCAAAGTAGCAGGGAGAGTACTGATCATTTGTTTATTCTCCTGTAGTTTTGTTGCTATGGAAAAGATTATTTTGTTTGTTGAGTGTTGGATTTCTCCACCTTCAAGTATTGCAATGCTAGAAATGGATTTTTGGAGTTTTAGAAATAGTAAGAAAGCTTGGGCAATTTGGAAATGCATAATAATGACTAGTTTTTGGCGTTTTCATGCTTTGAGAGGAGCAAAAGAATTTTGGAAGACGATTGTGTGAGGATCTTGGCTTCCTTCTAGGCTTTGATGTCACCTCAATTTTGCGAGAATTCCTTTGGTCTTGATTAGAGCGGTTTGGAGATTCATGTGTGATATGCAACTTCTATCAATCTTTTCTTCCTTTTTTTTTTCCTTTTTCCTTATTGATGGACTACTTGTCCTGTGTATGTCATTATTATGAAGGAAAACCGTTGTTACTGATCCAAAAGTAAAAAATAAAAATTAGAACCAAATTTAGCTTATGTCTTACCGTTTCTCATATGTATAGTAAAATCTAGCATATCGCAAGCTATACTAAGAAATGTATTAGTTTTTTGGTTTGTTTTTGTATGTGTTTTATTCCTTGCTTTTTTTTCTTTTGAAACATCCAGTGGGTTGTATGTAGGTGTGGGTTCATGAATTTTGCAAGCAACACCAAGTGTCTGCGCTGTCGAGGGCCACGTCCCAAGAGGCAATTGAATCCCGGAGAGTGGGAATGCCCGTCGTGAGTGTCTCTATTTCTCAGCTGAGGTTCAAATCTGGTAAGATGACTGATAACATCTATAAATTAACACATTTCTTTCTGTAGGTGTGATTTCCTTAATTTCAAAGGGAACATGGTATGCCGCAAATGCAATTGTGAACGCCTCAAAGACGTGCAATCAGAGGATGAAGATCAGCCATGGAGGAGGCCTTTTTAAGCAGCTTTTTTGGCGAGCTTATAAGCGCTAATCTCTGGTTTTGGAGATTGATCATCAAATAGTCATATTTTTCACCAAATATACCCGACACACACGACTTGGGGCTTCTAGTTTGGCTGGTGGTATGCAAACAAAGAGAAGATAGACAAGGTGGAAAAGTTTTCCTTTCCTTTTATAAGTTAGATGGTTGAGATGAATCTATGGGGGTTTTCTTTACTATGTAGTTCTTGGTTTACATAACCTTTGATTTTATTCTTTGTAAGTATTTAATGCTTATCCTAAGATGAAAACCAAAAGAATTCCTGTTTTGCAAATAAGGGACAGATGCGTTTTGTCAGTAGGAGGACCACCACCACCACCCTCGTACCATTTATTAAAATTTAATCTTAACAATATTAACTGTCCATTAAATCTTCAAAATACATACATTTTCCTCATACTACTTATCATCTGACGAAAAAAACACTTTTATATTTTCAATTCGAGTTATATTAGACTCTGAATAAAAATGATGGGTACTTCAATAAAGGATATGTTGTTCGGATGTGTTGTAAGGAAAGATGAAAATTTCGTTTCAGTGAATTGCGAAAGAGAAGTGTTTTGATGTTTTTCAAAAATATTTCGAAAATAGAATGAAAAAATAAAAATTATGAGAATTATTTTTTTGTATAAATTCATTGAAACATTATAAAACACTTCGAAACATATATATAATAAATTAGATAGGTGTTTGAATGTATAGGGGTATATTTTTTTTCCCAAATTTCATTCCCCCTCCCCCAAAAAAAAAAAAATTCAAAAACCCAACACACTCCCCCCCCCACCCCCAAATTTTTTTTTTTAAATCCAACACACTCCACAATTACACGTACATACAACACACAATTATCATTAGTATTACATAGTGTACAATAGTCACATAGTATAGTTATAAAAATATCCAGAAGTAATAAAAATTTGATTTCATCATTAATTCATTTAGATCTTCTTGAAAACAGTAACAATTCAATTGTTTCAAAATAAAAATTATGATCCTTAGTTATAATGACTCATATCATGTGGGCTTTGTAGTGAGTACAGCTTAATTTTAGTTCATTGTCATTTGAAACCAACCCAATCTGCTCATTGATTGTGACGAGTATAAAAAATATACAATTAAGACATTTTTTTCACTCAACCAAACCAAAAGAATTCAAGTCATATAAAGGGTCCTGAATAAATATTGTCATCCATAGTAGCCAGTAGCATTCAGAATCCTTTGATAGCAAACCTACATTATATGTGCCACTATGACCACTCTTCCGAGAGGACTTTTAGTTCTGAAATTTGGAAATTGTGATAACTCCAACTTCTAATTGCAATGACACAACTTCTAAGATTACATTCTGAACAATAGAAAGACATCTATAACCCCAAAATTCATACTATTGTTTGACATTTCCCTTAAAATCAAGGATCACATGGTCACAAATGTCGTTAGCTCTTCCTCTTCCTTTCTTTTGGTGTAAAAAAACAATGGAAACACTGATTGATCTGATATACTATCTTCAATGATTGTGATTTGCATGCGCTAATTCTACGTTAAACACAAGTTATGGATACACAAGACTAAGAGCATTTGTTATTTCAGCCTTGCCCAAGAACCCTCTATTCTACAATGAGCGGAGAGACAATAAAAGCAACCCTTCTTTAACCAAACCACCAGAAGATCAAGCCTATACATCTTTCTGTCGATAATCTTACCTTTTATACTTGGAGAAACCAGAAACTATTGTTGTAGTTCTCAACAATCCTAATTGGCCACAGGTGCATCTTGCTCATTAGGTTGATGCAGAAGGGCGACCTCCTCAGCAGCAGGAACGGCATGCCTACGTTGCCGTTCTCGTAAGTAAAGCACTGTTAGGAGGCAGACAAAGAGAGTGAGGATTGTCACATTTCCTTCCTCCATGATCACATTTTCCACCCATGTTTCCACTTTTGGATAAACTCCAGGCAGTGAATCAATCAAGTCAACCTAGAATGAAAACAAAAAAAAACCAAATAATCAGAGTCCATTGTAGCGGCCACCGAGAATTAATTAGTAAAAGAGCTGGCCAAAATTCATTGAATAATGCCAAAGAAAGTGAATGCAAACCAAGTACAGAACAAGTACAAAAACTCACCACCAATGTAAGCTGAAATTAGTCCTTTTGCTTTAGGAATCAGAATATCAAGCATGGGCAACAAGAAGGATAATGTCAATCTAATCTACTGAACCTGAACAGTTCACAAAGAAAGTGAACCAATCTAAACAGAACCTGACTTTTCAAGTCATCAATCTAAAGGTAGAAATTTGAAACAAGACGCATGTTTTTCCAGTGTGACTTTCTATTTTAAGTGGCAGCACCAAATGTTTTTCCAACTCTAGCCATGTACGAGGAGAATAGTTATTTAGCTTTTGGTTTTTCTGTCCTCAGTAACAAATTAACTAGGAAGAAGACAATTGAACTTTTAAGCCTCCAAATTTTATTTTCTTTTCTTCAATTACCAAATCAAAATAAGTGTTGGAATTCAAAATTAAACGGGTATCAGACAAGGGCAGGATCAGCTATCTGGCAAAGGTGAAGTATATTGTACAAGGACACAGCTGGAATAACAAACAAAAAGTATATCTGGCTGGCCACACAATTCCTTGTCAGGACAGAAAAAGGTGTTGGGCAAAAATTCTGAACCTGTGGTACCATACCTATAGATACTCAAAAAGGAACTTTCCCACCCTATTACAATACACAAAACTTGGCTGATGTCCACTTACAGATATATTTAGATGCTGTAGAGGATGCATTTTCTAAAAATTAAAAAAACTGTAGTATGCTTAGCCTAAATTTGTACATGTCATTTGAGGGTTTTTGTTTATGACTCGAGCAGACATTGAGTGCTTTAGATGTCTATGGAACCACAAATATATTTTTCCCCTTGCAGGAACCCCACTCATTTTACATTGTAAACATCTTATCCATGCTCCAGCAAGTTCATTCAGCCAATGAATGCAGTCAGTTGGCAGTTGGCAATGTTGCCCTAACATCTAGGGTGTATACTATTTTTCAAATAAACATGCTCTCATAGTTTGAGATTTTCTTTGTCTAAGCAAGTTTTAGACGTGTTACGACTCTTAAAAAACAACCAATTATTCAAATGTGTCATGCAAGTATTTAACTATCAAAGCAATAAATAGAGCTCAAGGAACCATAACTCATACTGCCAAAAAAAAAAAAAATTAGTCGAAGAGGGGGAAATCACATTGTTTCCCACATTACCCTTCATAGAATTCTGAATGTGCAAATTGAAAAAAGAGCTTGTATCCCACATCGAATGATTGGAATCAACCAATGTTGGTTTATATGCTTAGGGGCCTCCCACTCATTGCCAATTGATTTTGGGTAGGAGACTCTAACATAGGATCAAAGCTGGACCTTAGGTGGTTTTGGGCCGAATGCTCTAGCACATCATATATTTTGTAACATTGTCCTCGTATCTGTCATTTTTCGGCTTTCATATTTTTCTTGAATAAATTAGATGTCACTCCTTTACTAGATTAACAAAAACAAGAAGGTCACTAATGTTGTTGAAATTGCAATAATTGCAGTATTCACATAAAGAGGATAGTTTCAAGTGAAAAACATGGATAATAGTTTGACTACATGATTTGAGAAACAAAGTAGTGAGAAAAAACTTTCTTATTAAAGTTACACAGAGCAATAGAGGGCAAACACACCCATATAAACACAGGAAGTCAGCTTGGACAAGTTAAGTCCACCAACTTCACAAATGACTCATTGGTCAATTGATTCAAGATTGCTTCCATGATACATGAAGTTACAAAAACTGAGTGTGCAAAGGATAGACACTGCATTTTCACAGAGACTTGCCAGAGCCTTTCTTAATTGCTAACTTACTTCTTAATCATACTCATACATACCAAAAGCACTGATAAAAATATGGATCACATGTGTCATGCAATACCAGGTGTACACCTAGGTGTACCAGGCCAAAGTGTAGGACAGATTATCCACCCAGATTGTTAGAACTGGTCTTTGCTGCCAATAGCCCACCAGAAGAAGTTCCAAAAACTACATATTAATGTTATCAAACAAAAAAAGATAAATTTCAGTCTACAACTAAACCTCTCCATAACTGAGGACATTTTCCCAATGAACTTTCAAGGACACCAACAGTCAACACCAACAGTCAACAACAAAATTTATCCCCAATGACGTTGGAAATTTACATTCAAGAAGGATTTCAAACCTCCGGATGGGTGTGATTGAGAAGTTGTATGGACATCATATGCATTTAAAAGATGGACACCAAAGGTTGTGGGGGAACAATAAACCATTCAGGTCCACATTCTGCACGCATTGGTATTCATTTTGGTATGCTGAACAGATATTATGTATGCATCTTATATCGTAAATATTTTTATGTGCTGCATTTTCACTGAAAACAAGCAGGTGGACCAGACCTACAAAAACAGAAATGATATGAAATAAAATAAAACTCACCAGGACACTATTAGCATAGTTCTTTCGCATCCACAGGCTTGCAAGGGCTAACGTCACAGGCAACTTTGCTGCCGGGTCAATTTCTAGGGCTTGGTCATAGTGACGCTTGGCAAGGTGAAGATCAAATGGCAGTCCTTGGCCATGCTCATGCATGTAACCAAGATTGAAAATGGCTTGGGCATTAGACTGCAATTTGGCATGCATGTAAGCCTCTGCTGCACGATCATAATCTTGCTCCGTACCCTAAAAAATAAAACAAATTAAGACCAATTGAAACTACTAATCTCGGACCTAGAGCACCCACCAACCTATTACATTTGATAACATACCCGACCATAGTAATATGCATCCCCAATCAGCAGAGCTGCATGTTCATTACCCTGCTCAGAAGCTTGCCACCACAAGGCATGTGCCCGCTGATGCCTCTCTGCATCTGTGCAAAAACCTGATTCTCCCATGCACATACTGCGTTCCCGGTATTTGTCAAGAATCCAGGCAGCATTACTTTGTGCAACCTCATACCCTAACTCTGCCATCCTTGAGTACAAGAGGAATGCTTTGCCTGCATCACCTTTCAAGTATGACTCCAGTGCCCATCTAGACAAGGAACTCCATGGCCCACGTTCTGCAACTAGTTTGTACAATGCAGATGCCTGAAATTAAAAGGTCCCAACGATGAAAAGATGTAATATTTGTGTTGTTATAAGATCTTTCATCATGACCAAGAGAAGGGAAAAGCACAACAGAAAAATGAAATATTGAACTAACAACGCCGCATTAAAACCTAATATTTCAAGTTTATTTCGTGGACTGACTTAGGATCCATAAAAGAGCCAAAATAAAAGCCATTTCTGATCCTCACTGATACCACAGAATATGCACTATAAAATTACCACGACATTTTGTTTTATGATTTGTATTATACTTTCCTGAAGCAAAACAACTCAAGCCGATTTTGTAGGCATTGGCCTTGGTCTCATGGGTAGAATCTCGGATATAGTCTCTGTGCATGCAAGAGTATGGCTGCATAAAATTAATCTTCCCTAACCCCAGCAGCGACGGAAGTCTCATGCATACCCTTTTATTCCTATTTCACAGAAGAATAAGTCTAAAACACATGGAAGCCAATATTTGCTTTCTAGGGCATAGACAAAAGGCTCCAATGAACATTGAGATGGCATATGAGTTTCTCCTTCGTCAAGGTGACAAAATTTCATTGATATCAACAAAAGAAGAGCACATACGATATGTGGAATATAAGCAATCAACAAGGGTGATTTGGTCTCATCAAGCCATATGGAATAAATACCAACAGAGCATCAACTTTCATTCAAATAGAATAGCAGGTGACACAAGACAAACACTAAAATGTTTTGTCGTTTTTATCTCCTAAACAGATTCAAAGAAATTCCTCAATTGTATAAAGAAAGGGAGAGAGGTATTCACTCATGTTCACTTTGATTCAATATATTGTTTATATTGTGTAACTTCAGCAAAATGAAACAAAGATTTTAAGAACGTAGGCAAACTAAATAGAACACAGCTAGAGTACAGTGAAAAAGGTGGGCTGGAAATAGGGTTGTGGTAACGGCTGAGTAAAGGGACTCATAAAACATAACTAATCTCTGCTGCGTGAGGGCTTTAGAATTCTCATTGGCTTGGTAATATCCTTGAAAAATTTAGCAACCCACAGCAAAGACTTTAAGGAGCAATAGTATCAGTAGTTAGCAAAGAGTGGCAACTCTTTTGTAAACACTTAATGGCTGATCCGTGGGGCTGTGACAGTGATGCAAATGGGTATGAAACCGAGCTCATGCCACAAATCACAGCTTGCTTCCTGGGTCATCAAGCACTTACATGACCAGGCACCCTTTGGACTTTGACTACCATTCCTTAATAACTACAAGAAATGGAATTGAGCCCAGACCACCAACTGCCCAAAACAACAGGTTATATTAGGAAATTTCACCCAACCAATTGGTTTTGGTTAACTTGAACCCATGCCATCGAAGACAAATCAAGTTGCGATTTGGATACTAAGAGACGTGTTTTGCTCCATTTTACTTTTATCCAGATTTCCTCTTCCATCCCTTGTATCTTGTTTACCTTAGAGAATGGTAACTGAAATAATCAAAGGGTTTAAGAACGCCAGAGAAGTAAATTGAACATAGCTAAAAATCCATTTACAGTGGAAACAGTGTGCTAGAGATAGGGTGGTGGATAAAGCAAAGCCGCAAAGTAAGGGAATTTAAACAACATAATTAATCATGTCCTGCTAGCAAACCATTAGAATTATGATGTAGGCATGATAATACCCTTGAAAAGTTTAACCACCATGATAGAGAATTTAAGGAGAAAGAATATCAGGAGGGAGCGAAGGCTGGCAATTCTTTTGTAAATAGCTAATGCCAGTCCGATAATGCTGCAAGAATGGTGGAAATAGGTTACAAAACCAAGCTTGAGCCATAAATATTGGAACACATCACCCAAGCACCCATATGACCAGCATCCTATGAACTTTGGGAGCAATTACCTAGGGACTGCAAGAAATGAAATCTATCCCGGACATCGAACTGCCCAAAACAACTGATTGTATGTGGCAACTTTACTGACCACCTGTTGTTGGTTAAACTTGAACACAGGCTATTGTGAACAGGTCAAGTTCAGATTCTCACACAACAATCCTAATAAGTATTTTGATTGCTACATAATCAAACATACCAGTGCTACTTCACATTTGTTATTTCACAATAATGCACCATTCTTGGTTAATAGGTTGTCCCACTGTCAATGACCTGGGTGTAAATTAAGGAATTGCAGACAAAGTCCAAGCTCAAAACCATTACAAGCTCTATCCCAACCTTCAAGAACTCCTGAGGCAATAGGGAAGGGGGTAAATTTCTGAAACCAACAGAGTTGAAGGAAAAGATCAAGCATGTAAATCCTTTTCCTTCAAGATATAACATAGTCTTTGTTTTCTGTTCACGTGATATTAAAATACTAATTTTGCAACAGTCATGATGCAACAAACTGCCATTTTTGCTGAACTCCCTCGTACTACTGTACCAAATCGACGTGGTCTGCCCTAGCAACCATGTTTTGAATCGGTGCAACTTAACACAACAATACCTGGAAAACTAATCTAATCTTCCATGGCATGGGGTGGAAGTATTAAGAAAGAGGTCAACCAATTTTATTTTTTTTAAAAACGCAATTTAAAATTTGTTGTTTTTTCCCCAGCAAAACCATACAACATAAAAACAAAACATCTACGTAATAGTCTGAATAGGGTAGTATATTAATGGTCACATAAAAGAAAATATGGTAATTAGATTTACCATGAAGAGATTCTTCTTAAGCCCGACACCGGTATGGAACATTTTGGCTAATTGGTAAAACGCCTTTGCTTGACCTGCATTAGCTGCCTTCAGAAAGCATTTGCATGCTAGCTCCAAATCCCTCTTCACTCCAATTCCTTTAAGGTACATTACACCTAGATTGTAAAATCCGCCAGCTTCCTTATTGTCAGCAGCCTTCTCAAAGTACTGCTTTGCCTGTAATAAAAGCATTCAGTTTGCAATACACACCTCAATATTCTCTGACATAGCTAAATAACCCAAGTACCCTAAAGTACAAGTCATGGCAAAAAATTAACCATAAACAACAAAAAAAATCCCCCTCCAAAAAAAGAAAGAAAGAAATGAAAAAATAGGAAAAAATTCAAGGGAGAAACAAGAAATTGAATGTTGCTGCTGGAGTATAAAGTAAACTTTTCCAATTTGTGTTACGAAGAATCCAGTTCTATTTAAAACCATAAAAGCCGGATGAATTGACAGGAAATCCAGCAATTGTTTGTTTTTCTATCAAATTCAACATGACAGCATCAATCAATTTCATATAAAGTAATAAACATAACAAAACTTTATCCAATTATTTGGGGCCAGCAACATCTTGTATAGAATTTTTTGGATCAACATGAGCATGGCCGGAAAGAGGCTGAAGTAAATGACTCATTTAGCATTGGTTTGGAAGAGAGTTACAACAAGGGTTAAATTATTTGTTTATAAAAAACAATGGTTGTATATCCCTTTTTATTTCTTTGCAATGTTATGTGCTTTATTCATTTTTCATCTGATAACTAAATTCACATCTGTTAAAGCGTGATCCCGATTGGAAAAAGTCAAAAAAAGAAGAAAGTTAAAAGAGTTAAGAAAGTTGAGATTAAATTCCATTTGAAGAAAATAAAGCTAGAGAATTTACTCCAAGGGTTATGATAGTTAGCATTACTTGGTGCATTGTCATACGAGGATGTATTTAGGAGTTGTTTCCTTAATTATGGATGTTGTGGTACTTTTTAGTTTTCTAGAAAGACTAAATACCCAAACTAGTCATAATCCTAGTTGTCATCCACTAATTGCACTCAAATATTTTTGGTTGTCACCAGCAGTTCGTAACCAGATAGTCACCTACTAGGTTGTCAACAAGTTGTTGTCTAGTTGTCACAATTCTGGGCTATTTGTCTTACTTGTTTTTCTTCTTCCTAATATGCCTTCCTCTCCAAGTAATTCTCGGGTGCTTGCTCTCCTCATTTTTTCCTCTTCTTCTCCAGCTTTCTCCTTAATTCACTTATCAATTACCTTTCCCAGCAAGACAATCCAAATTCTCAAACTTTCCATCTGCTGCCCTGCATCTGCTCGGAATCAGAAATTAGATGCCAGTCTACCAGAGTCTAGCTTTTCAATCAAAGCAACCTTGACTTTGATCCAAGCAAACCTTGATTGTCACTGCTTAATTACAGAAACCATGGCTTCTGATTATCATCTCGTGCTCACATTTTGTACTAGTTCATCCTGTGAAACATCTTGAAAATCTAATAATCCTTCAAAAGAATATACCAAGTATTAAACTGATAATACCCATTCCTTCAGAACTGTAGCATAACTCTTTTTCCATTTTATTTTTACTTTTCTTTTTCCTTTGGAGGGAGAAGGAAGGGAAGGAAGACAGGTTTGTGTATAGTAGTGTCAACCCAAGCCAGTTTCAAAGTTTAGCAGAAGAAACCCACTTTTAATTCATGCTACCTTCGACTGGAAAAAAAAAAAATACTCATCCTATATCCAAGCCTAGAATTTCTGATATTCAAGCTTTAGGAAAGATGATGCCCCAGGGAAGCAAACAATCATATCAACCCTAAACCAAGGACAAGCAGATGTCACAAACTTGTGTGTTTACTTCATGGTACCATATGAGCATGATTATCAACATTGAATTTTATAATTGATCTTAGCATTGACCAAGTGGATGGAAGAGAGAAGGTACAACTAATGTAAAGACCACTTCATAAACAAATAACAAAAATCAAAGGGAAGACAAAACAAAAGTCCAAAATTCAAGGGTTATCAGAAGAATTGAATTATAACATGAGGGATCTACAATTTAATTCAGTTTGCATATTTCTACAACATAAAAATCAAGTAGGATTCATGCGACTACTGCTTCGACAACCACCTAAAACATGCCTTTAAAGGTATCAACTAGTTGCCTTGAATAAGGCTGAAAACAATGTTTTTATATTTTTTGCAATTTTGACGGAATGGCGAGCTTCATTTGATACATAGGCTCCTTTATGTATTTATATATTTTAATTGTGCTTTTCTTTACGGATTTGATTTCTTGTCCAACCATTTTGATGTAAGCTTCGTTTCCTATCTAAATTTTTTTTCTTTGCCTCTCTTGCAAAATGCCTTCAGTCCTTCAATGACCTAACTATACCATTTTTTCTGCTACTAACATTAAGAAGCATCAATCATGCTCTTCAATCATTTTGGTCTCAACTGAGTTTACTCTAGTTCTGCTCCTCTTCTTTAATAGCCAAACCAATAGATTGAGTATATTTCTCAGTCAATTTTCTGTTTGCAGCCCAGTAGATTATGTCATGGACAAACTACCCTGTTACAGAAGCAATATATTAACAGTGAGCAAGCAGTATCTAGAAGCACTCCCCAATGAATAAGATTATACTAATGCAGTGAGTACTATTGCCACAATTAAAGATGGTGGCCAAGAAGTCCTGGTTGGGACATGGGCGCATGTGTATTAGAAAGGAGGAGGCCATACTAAAAACCTAACGGGTGAAAAGCACTAAATGTACAAGCTGGACAATTGACAACTTTAATAAGAGACAGATGGCAACTAATTGCTTCCTAATAGATCTACAATGCATGACAAGAAAGCAGTCAAATCAGACAAGATGCAACCAATCATTAAGTCAAAAATTGAAAGGAGTGTTCTAGAACCACAAAAAGAAAACATAAATGATTAAAACAAACTTGAAGAAAAGAGAGAAGTGTTAAAAAGAACGCATAATGTAATACATGAAGTATGCAAAGTTGGACAAAATATATAACAAAAAAAAAAAAAAAGGTAAGGGAAATGATCATACCTTGGTATAGTTCTTTTGTTCCACCCCATAACCCTTGACATACAAATAACCCATTCCATTATAAGCTGAATAAAGTTGCTGCCTGGATGCAAGCGTAAGCCACTCAAGTGCTTTTGTGTAGTTCCTTTCAACTCCAGCTCCTTTAGCATATATCTCTCCAAGAAGTTCCATAGACCTTGGCTCCCCCTTCTCAACAGCCTTTGAAAACCATGACAATGCCTTTGCATGATCCCGCCTCACTCCTCTCAATCCAAAGTAGTAAAATATCCCAATTTTGTACATGGCTCCAGCATTCCCCTTCTGTGCCTGGTATTCCAAGATCTGGAAGTCATCATCCTCCTCTCCTCGAGACTTCCTGAGAGCCTCTTTGTTTTCCTCTGCTCCATTGTGGATCCTAATTGGTTCCATCACCGGTGAATCCTTCGAGATCAAAAAACTCTTCACAGCTATCTCCGCCAATTCAGCATACAGCTTCAGTGCTTCATCACGCATCTGCAATCACACAATAACAAGAAAGAATTACTCCACACAATCATTTATACAGTCAGGGGTAGCATCAAATTGTATGTATCTTGCTGATAAACGATCCAATCATCTAAAAAAGTAAGAGCAGGTCATTGATCTGCATCAACAAGACGAGGGGAAAAAATCAATTTTCCCAATGACCTCACACAGAAATCTTATACAACTTCCACATCTAGATTTTCATGAATCAAACATATGGACTTACGAACCTTTTCCAATAAGATTCGATTCGGTTGCCAGGTAAATGGTAGAAAAAGATAGGAAGGAAACTAAGGACTCTTTATTGGATATTTGTCAAACTAAACTATACCTTTCAGACATGGGTGCGTGTGTATTAGAAATAAATTTTCATCACCAGTTTCAACAACTCATACCAAAGAAAATTTACAGAAATCATATTCCCTCTACCATTCCCATCAGTTAAATCAATCTATCGTAAATTCGTAATGTAAGAATATATATTACGAAAACTCAGAAACTATTTCAAAACCAAACCAACATACGTCTTGGCGAGAGTAAATGTAAGCGAGGGCCATCTTGGACTGCATGTTCCCATTCTCCGCCGCGAAAGAGTGATACAAAAATGACGCCGCTTTGTTCCTCTCTCTTCCCATCCCCATCCTAGTCAAAAACCCCATCACCGACTGCGCGTTGGCGCACCCCTTCCGGGCGGCCGCCTCGATCTCCGCCTCCGCCTCCGCCATTAGCCTCTCGTCGCCCCGACTCGCCGCGTTCACCATCTTCATCACCCCAGAGTAGTACAACGGAGAAGGATCCGATTCGGGTCGGGTATTCGGTTCGAATATAGGGCGCCATGACCCAGGGTCGAACTCTTCGTCGGACTTGGAGTCGGAGTCGGTGAAATCGTCGAAATCGGAATCATTTTCACCGAGAATTGAGTCGTCGGAGGAGGTGGAAGAGTCTGTGAGGTCGTCTTGGGAAAGGACGAGGACGAACGGGCGGGCTAGGGTAGAGAGGGGGAGGAGAGAGAGAAGTATGAGGGAGAAGATTAAGGTGTGAAGATTTCGAATTCGCATGGCTCTCTTCTCTTTGGCGTTCAGCACGGAAGGAGCGTAATGCATCTTGCCTGGTTTCAGGCTTCAGCTTGTGTGTGTGCGAGAGAGAGAGAGAGACGTGTTCCCCTGCCACGTTAAGTGTGATCATATCTGCCAATAATAGGATGCCAAATCAGCATGTATATGTACAATCAGAAGTGTAATTGGATATAGTGTTCCGTGGTGAAAAGTACAATTTTTTATTCTTCTGGGTAAATTGACCGTCGTAAATTACACTTTGATACTTTCAACTATGATTTTTTTATATTATCCCTTTAATTATTATTTTTTATATTATATCCCAAAATATATGTGCAATTATTATTTTTTTATATTATACCCTAAATTATGTGTTTAGTTTCATATTGTCTCAATTTGTTTTATTTTATTCCCCAAATTATGTGATTTATTTCACTTTGTCCCAACATTTTGACAATTATCGTCCACAAAAATAGTAGACATATACGTTTGGGACAATGTAAAATAATTCAATTACTTGAGGGAATAGTGAGAAAAACTAAGTAGTTCAATAGACAACTTAAAATCGAGTCCAGAAGAGAGTTAAAGTATAATTTATCCTTTAATTAGAGCTAAATATAGGGACTTTATTTGATTTCTGAAAAAGAAAATCAAATTAATCCTTTTTAATTCACTAACAATGCATACTTGCGTTGCATGTGAAGAAAATTTAATTCATTATTTGTTATTAAATTTATTTGCAATACAAGTCGACGAGTAATAAAATTAATTATTTTTTTGTAAAGGTAAGTGAATAATTAAAATACCAAAAAAATAGACATTTAATCTTTTAATCTCAAATTTTGATAAATTTTAGCCAATAAATGATAAAAATACTCAAAAACATGGTACATATAAAAATACTCAAAAAATGTTGGAGTTAATTTATTTATTATTTGATTGATTGTTGGTCTCAAAAAATGTTAAAATTTACCATCAATTCAAAAATTAAGAATAATTATGTCAATATTATAGGAGACTTTGACTTCATTAAATTTGTCGGAGAAGAGCATGATAACATAGGATTTCAAATAAATAACTATGACAAACCAACTTCTAACTCTAACATGAATAGAGGAAAAAACTTGTTCAATAACTTTGCCAAAAATTTTGAAACCAAAAGACAAAAAGAGATTCAGATCGTTTTAAGATAAAACATAAACACATCCAATGGATAAAATAATCTCAAAATAAAAGACAGTTCAGATCATCTCAAAAATTTTAATCTAACAGTTTATAGTTAGTCCTGAATTTCTTTTCCCGCCCATAAAGAAGTCTCTTATCGTAAGACTCTACACTTTTATCTCTCATATATCTCTATCCTAAATTTGAAAAAATACAATAACAACTCAGATTGAATTCATTTTAAATTAAATGATCCAAATTTCATCTAAATTCATCAAACTTAATCCAATGACTCACCAGGGCGGAGCTAGAAAAATACTTTAGGTTTGACAACATAATAAATTTTAATTGTTCTTTTTTATCAATGTTACCAATCACTTAATTCAATGTAACTGTGATTTTAATTATAAAATTTAATATTAGATGAAGTCTACTTTCAATTAAAAAGGTGCATTGAATTATGTGATCAAATTAGATTTAAATGATATTTTTCATTTTTTTTTCAATTGACCATAGAAGTTCATAAATTCATATTTATTATAATTATGCGTAAAAATTCATAAAACATAAAAGGTTAAAAAATGATTTGTATGGAATGAACAAACAAAAAAATAAAAGTAAATTAATTAAAACATTGTATGAGACTAATTATTATCATTTTACAATTAAATCTGACTATTGTTTATCATTTAAAAGAATTACAAATCAATTATATCAATAAATACTTTTTTTATATATAAAATGGTAATAACAATCTTTCATTTATTATCCTATAATTTATTACATTATGACGCATATTTCTATACAACAATAAAATAACCCTATAATTTAAAAAAATGAACGCGATATGTCTAAAAATTATTTGGACATGTATGTGTTTAAAAATTTAAGAATAATAGTAATTGCATTTAATTTGAAATTTAATTTTATATCTTAACCAAAAAAAATTCAAAATTTAATTGGTAAGAACCCAATGGTTTGTAACCATTAGATGGATAGTAGACGTTATTAAATGTAAGAACTCACTATTGAATTTAATATCATAATGTATTAGTTCCAATAACATTATTTAAAAATTAATTATTATTTAAGTAGTCATCTATCTTAATCAATATCACAATAATTCAATAATAAGGTGGACACAATTAAATATGTCTAAATTTTATTTTAAAATATATATATTTATTGTAAAAAAAATTGAGGTTGGACACAATTAAATATATCTAAATTTTATTTTAAAAAATATATATCTAATGTCAAAAAAAAAAAAAATTGAGAGGGGGCACGTGCCCACCCTAGTTCAAGGGTGGCTCCGCCCCTAAATTCCACCCAATTTAATTACACTTACATGCTACCCATTTTGTTTAACACACAGCTCAAACTCTTTTTCTTTCATACATTAACCGTCTTACCTCTCTTAGTTTCTCATAAATTATTGTCATCCTCCTCAGTCTCTCATCTCTCTATGCAGACTCTAACAATAGACAGACATTTTTCAGCGACGCACGACATAATTTGGAGACCCACTAGACTTACCCACTCCGACCATCCACTCTTTTCCATTCAAATTGTATTGACAATGATCTATCATCCGGAAGTATTTGTGCTGGTACCCATTATTGTTTATCTTTGATAATTTTTTTGGTTTGGTTTGGTGTATGTTTTGACAATAGTTTACTGTTTTTAATTTTTAAAGTTTGTGTGGTTTAATTGTTGATATATTGTTATTAACTGATTATTATTAAATGTTACTCCCTCCCTTCCTAAATATCATTCGTTTAAGGTTTTTGCACAGAGATTAAAAAAGCTATTAAATAGCTCTAATATAAGTAAAAAATAATTGTATAAGACTAAAATACCCTTACTCAATACGTATTAGGAAGGAAAAGAATATGAAAGACACTTAGTTTTCACCTAATCTAATGCATTGAAAAGTTAAGGGTAAATTTGGAAGAAAAAATATTAATTATGCTTTGATTTTATTAAACGACATAAATTATGAAACAAAAAAAATTGTGTAAAACGACAGATATTTAGGAACGGAGGGAATATATGTTAAAAGTATATTGTTTATACCTTGATCTAGGTTGGTTTTGTTTAATTTCTAATTTTATGATAAACTTTGCATAAAATTAAAAATATTTCTATTAAACACACATAAAATACATAATATCTCTAAGTTTAATGTTTTTTTTTCAAAGTTTGACAGTTTAACATTTGATCTCAATAACTGCATACACACCGTCACTACAACATAAAAACCAGTATCTAAATGGACAATGTCACCATTTTTGGATATGTAAGTTATTTAGTATATCGATTTTTTCAAAACTTTTGGTATAATATTTCATTAAAAACTATTATATACTTATTATATAATTTTTCATATTTTTTATTACAAACTGATTCATACCTAGAGTACACTGTAAGTAGATCTTCTTATCACTCATCTTAGTACCGTCGGTTGATGTTTACTTCTTACTTTCTTATCAATCAATGAAGTTTAAATTGTCTTTATAATCCATAAATAAAATCATCAAGTTATTATTCATACCAAAAATAAATCACTACTATATGAAAATTTATAGTTCTCAAAAAATTAAAAAAAAATTCAAAGTCCAAGTTAATCAACAACTAAAAAATAAATAAGATACCAATTGCACCAACAAAAAATGTTCAAAATCAATTTAATCGCTATGTGTTAAAATTATTCAAACATCCGATCTTTGAGTGTTAAAATTTTATAAGTAACATAGTGTCTTTTGACACGGACAATGACTAATATATATATATATATATATTCAAAATATTTTAGAAGTCTAATAAATAGGAAAGACAAAAAAATATATATGTATATGTATTACCTAAAAATTACCAATATGTGGTGTTAGAATTCTAGTAAAGTTTGTACAATTAAATGAAAAAGAAAGAATGTATTGTCATAGAGATAAAATTTATCTATCAAGTCATAAAGATAAAATTTATAGCTAATATTTTGATAAAGTTTATCTAGTTAATATTTTGATAAAATTTATTTACCAAGTCATAGAGATAAAGTTTATCTAGCTAATATTTTAGAAGTCAAATAGGTACGAAAGACAGGAAAATATGTGGGTATAATTGGTTTTATGGTAATAATTAAGGGTGAAATAGAAAATCAAAATTTTTCATACATCCTAACATTTATAAGTAGTATAGATATAGATATAGATATGCTCATTTCATGCCTTTTTTTCTTTTCAATAATTATATTATCTATGTCAACACATATAAAAAAAATGATGATACTTTGAAGTATTAACTAGCATGCATTGTTGACTCATTTGAAAAAATTAAAATAATTTATGAAAAATAAAATTTGCTATCTATATCTTATCAATTAAATTGGGAAAAAAACCCCAAATGAATTATAAATCAAAATTAGAATTTAAAAAAAAAACCATGCACCTACTACGAACACAATGAATTAAGAAAATAAAAAAAAAGTACTAAGAAAATAAATAAAAACTTACATTACATAGACATATTTGTGCAAGGCATAATGATGAAGAAGGAAGAGTGGCACAATACCTATTAACGATAATGGAACAAGTAGAAGTGAACAAAAATTGTATTTTTATGAGTTAGAAAAAATAATAAGATAACTTGTGATTTAATGATAAAATGACGTTCGGTAAAGCACAATGATGAAATTAGTTTCATGCAGTTGATTTTAAATAGTTAGGATAATACCTTGGTTGAAATTGAGAGGGACTCAAATCCTACCCCTTGGAGATGGAGCCTCGCCATGTCATGGGGGTACCCCATTTGTAGACCCAGAAGAATTGGAGATGAAATAAAATTAGATAAAATTATATTTCTCAATTATATTTACTAAATATTATACTTTAAATGATGTATCAAAATCCTAAATATTGAATATTTTGTGAAAGTTAGTGAATTTTACTGATTCAACTACCCACATTGATTTGTAGTATAAAATTTGATAAATAATTTAATAAACATAACATTGTTCAATAAAATTACTTATTTTGATGATTTGGGGTATAAAGGATAAAGATATAACACATTACCTAAATCACAGACATATGGTGGTATTTAATAACCAAATTCAACACTAAAAAATAAAGGCATTCAACACTTTCTCAATTAAATGTGTTTGATAATTAAAATTCACACTACTTAAAATTTTATTCACCACTATCACAAATCATCATTATCACTTCACCATATCCCCACCAGCCCTGCAACCATCACTCATTGCTAATACTATATCACCAACACTACCACTCTGCCACCACCTCTTGCATTTGCGTCCAATTATCACTACCATTGTACCTCACCACCTACCCACCTCCTCAATTACTTTCAGTATGCATACATACCATTTCACCACCCTCGCCATCACCACCAACCCACCACTACAATTATTGCCACTGTCATCTCCTATTATCCTTCATTGTTGTCAATATTTCACTACCACCACCGCTACCACCACTCTCCATTCCCACCACGGCTGCCATTAGCTTTATCTTTACCACCATCATCACCAATTTGACCATTACTACCCCACCCCCAACCATTCTTGGTGGTAATGATGGTTACATGGAGGTGATAGATTGTAAGAATAGTAATCATGGTTGTGTGTGGTTAAGCGATAAGATGGTGGTGGAGATGATGATGGCAAAGTATGTGGTAACAGGTGATGAGTAGGGATGACAGTGGATCAGAAAAAAATGAGTATTTGTCCAAACCCGTCCCGTTTGGTCCGGAGATAGACTATACATATTGGATGGTGAATGTATACGGGGATACCCATATAAACTCGTGTGGGGATGAAGGCGAGGATGAACTTATCCTTACCTCGCTCCACCTCGCCCCGTCCCCGATAAAAAAAATATATATAAATAAAAATATTTGTTCTAAGGTTACAAGGTGAAATGAAAAATCAATAAATCCGAAGGTTGTCATTGTCTGATCCATTAGCTTCAATTGATCCTCTCACTAACTTCATCTTGTGAGCGGTTTGCCAAGTTCTGCAAATCATCTTATAAGAAATACATTTGCCTGAAGTAAGCAGCCAAGTCCCAAACAGTATTACATGATTCAAGTGAAGGTAGATAACTGCATTTGCATTCTGAAGAAGCTAATATACAATCAATTGATCACAAGCACGAACAACAAAACCTAATAACTCTTTTAGACTTGGGCGTTTGGGCTTGGGCTTGGACGGGTACGGGAGAAGCAGGGACGGGAGTAGGGATTAAAATTTTTTTCATGTATGAAAATGAGGATAAAAATTATACCCGTTAACAGGGGTGGACCGAGGATGAACGAAGATTTTTTAAGCAGGTACGGGGATGGAGACTATACCCCCCGCCCCCGCCTCGATCCACTGACATCCCTAGTGATGAGGGTAGTTGTGTTAGAGAAGGTAGAAACAACATTGATGGTCGTGGTAGTGGCGGCGACGGCGGTGGAATGGCAGAGAAAGTGATGGTGGGGTGATGGCAGTAGCGACAATGGTGTTTGCAAGGCACTGGTGGTGATATGAAAAGTAATTTTGGTGAGATTATAAAAGAGAATGAAAAAATTATAATAATAATAACTTTTAGATTTCAACTCTTTGTATTTGTCAAACAATTTAATTCAATTCAGTATTTTAAATCATTAAATACCAAGCAATTTGCGGATTAAAAAATTTAACATTCAATTGTCATTAATAAATTTTTAATTTTATCAAACAACATCTTAATTGAGGGCTTCATGACTTAATATCTTTCATTATATTAACTTTAGATGTTCAGTTTAATGATTTCTCATCATGTATGTATGTATAGTACTATACTAGCCACCCTATATAAGTGAGGTTCACTTTATCCAGTTATAAATTTATTATTGAATAGTAACATTACATAACAAGGATAGCGTGATATCACTATTACACCCAATTTTTACTCATGATAAGCATTATGATTCACCAAAGCGCTTCACACACACTCTAACAAATAGGTAAAAATGCTAAAAAAAGTGGAATTCTTCATATCAAGCTTTTAGTGTGGCAATTACCTATAGGGCTTAGTTGAATGGATTTTTAAGGAGGGTTTGAATTGGCTTTCCCAAACTCAAATCTCTCTTTACAAAAATGAGATTTAACATTGAATTCAATCCATATCCATATTTGGTATGTAACACATACACATGTAGGACCCAGAGATATGCCATAATTATTAAAAATCATTTATCTTGTAAATGACTATTTTGCATCTTGATCAATTCAATTCATACTCATGTTAAAGAGTACAATTATTTTTTGCATCCTAGCCCCTTGACCCATCTTCCCAAATCCGTCTCCCTAAGTTTGACGAAACTCAAGATCATAAGTTTATTATTTGAGCCAAGTTTGAAAACTCAGAATTAAATTTTTAACCCAAACCCTAGAGACAAATCCCCAAACCCACAAAACAAACGGGCCGATAATGGGTATATAGCTCTTCTTAAAAAAACTAATAAAACAAAGCATCCTCAAATGGCAAGCAATAACCTTGGCCACAAAAAATTCTAATGGCTTCAGGACGCCTCTAGTGTATGGGTGTCTATGCATCGGTTATCCATGAGTTTTATTACTCGGTCTGAAAAAATAATTCCAAAACCCAATAGGTTCGATAGTGGGGTCGCCCGAACTCAATATCCTTAAAAAGAGAGTTTGAGTTTACCCTTAAACCCATTACATGGCTCAAATCTCGGCCCAATAGCCTGCCGCAAAACTTGTTAAAACCCGACCCAAGAGCCTGCCCGCCCACCCACCCACACTTCATATGAAAAAAAGTTATACTTTTAAACTATTAAGTTAAATTTAAAATTTTGAAATAAATCTCCCAATATTAGAATTTAAAGTTTTAAAAATTTATATACCATAATTTTATTTTCCATGTATTAAACATAAAAGTTTTAAAGGGTAGAGTAATGCAAATAATAGATAAGTGAGTAGGTGTTAACCTAGTTATGATGTATTCATTCTATTGAATGTAGTTCATCCCTAATCAACAAAATAAAATTATTCATTATTTTATTTTTATCCAATTTGACTATACTTTTAATTCAATAATATAATTTATACAAATATTAAGTTACAAAAATATTCATTATTTTTAAACGAATTTATATGTTAAAAAGCCCGCAAGCTAGCCCGCCCAATAGGCTCTCACGCTTGGCTACGGATAGCCTACCCCTACTCAAAATCCAGCCCGATTCGTTAGTAATTTATTTGAGTTAGAGTTTGGGCCTACATTATCCAAATTTAGTCCAAAAAAATTTCACGGGCCTAACTCAGTCCAGCCCAGCCCATTGTCACCCTTACTTACCCTTACTTCAATGTAAGAAGTATAGTACGCTTGGAGTGTCAAATCTGCCCCTGATATTTCCAAAAAAGTAGTATGCATCATGTTGTAACGAAATCCGAATAAATATAGAAAATTCTCAAGCTAATGAGTATTTAGCATATTCAAAAAGCTATCTCGCAAGACGATCAGCAATATTCTTCTTGTAGAAAATGAACTTAAATAAGATTCATTAGAAAACAAATACTCACACATGTAATGGGAAATAGTTCATGCAAAGACCAGACTCACCCAGAAACTAACAGCCTATATTTTGTTAATTCTTCAAGACTTGATATAGAATTTGAACTCTCAACATCCATTTTTGTGTTTTTGCCACTTTTTTTTTTGGGATTTATCAACTTTCTAATTTTGTTCAAAGATTTTTGCTTTAAAATGCCTCGAATTTAGCAAAAGCACCCACGAAAACAGCAATCCTGAGACAGTACAATTGGCATGTGGAGGGAATTACATTCAACGATGATAAAATGTACTTTAATAGACGATGTTCTAATTTTGCTGTTCCATTATTTTCTCTCTTAAACACACCAAAAAAAAATCACAAACATCCATATTTCAACTTCTCCCTTGTCATAAATTTATGCTTCAAATCATCAACCAAGTTCGGAGAAAATGTGAATCCATCAGAACAAACACAAAGGAAGACATTATACCTGTGTTTACTTATTTCTGTACCTTACTCAAGAGAAAACTCGAACAACATGCTGTGTTTGTACTTCTCACCAGGTTGAACAACAACTGACGGAAAGTTTGGTTTGTTAATGGCATTGGGAAACCCCTGCGTCTCCAAACAGACCCCAGCGTGCTTTTCGTAGACAGCCCCACCTTTACCCACAACTCCATTGACATAGTTTGCTGTGTAAAACTGCATCCCAGGAGCATTGGTCCACAAGTTGAGAACCCTTGAGCTTGATGGGTCCTTCAATTTCGCAGCATGTTTCAAGTCTAGTTTCTCATCCCCACAGTCAAGCACATAATTGTGGTCATATCCCAAGCCAGGAACTTCATGGATAGAGCTACCAATCTTCTTCTCAGTGGTGAAGTCGAAAGTGGTGCCTTTAACTGGCATGATTTCGCCAGTTGGGATTGTGTTCTCATCCACAGGAGTAATGTGCGTTGCCCATATCTGAATTGAATGATCAAGAATGTTCCCAGAGTTGTGACCAGCTAAATTCCAGTAGGTGTGCTGAGCTAAACTGATCGGAGTAGCCTTATTTTCAGGCACTGCTTCCATGTCAAGCCTCATTGTTGTGCTTGAAGTAAGTGTATAAGTTGCAGTTACTGAAACATCTCCAGGATAACCTGGTACGAGACCAATAGAAGAATTAGTTGAGAGAGAGAGAGAGAGAGAGAGAGAGAGAGAGAGTACCTTCCTCCCCATCATGACAATGATATTTGAAGGTAATGGATGGATTTATGCCCTGTTTATGTTCAGCAACTTCCCAAACCACCTTGTCAAAACCTTTGTGTCCACCTACAAAAGGAAGTTCAGAAGATTTCAAAGTGAATATAGTAGAAGCTTTGAATTTCAAATTTCAAGTTTGCCACTTTGCCAAGAACAATAAAATGTAATTTGTCGTAACACAACTTTTAATAGGCAAAATACTAGCAGAAAACCATGATTTCAGACAATCATTGTAGCACAAACATTGTAGCCACACACTGACATATAACAGAACCCCCCGATCCCAGAATTTCCTGCCAAGACAAAGCAGAAACATGCGAAAAAATTTTGTTGATCGCATAAATGCGAAACTTCATTCTCTGTTTGGTCATATTTAAAGCATCCACGCCAGGGGGAGGGGGCCTGAGGGAAGACACAGATATTAAAACGACACTCATTTCTCTCCAGCAAAAAGCATGCTATATTAAATTAGGTTTTTAACTAAATCAAACATATACCAAAGGGAAGTTGGAGAGGATCCTTCATTGTGGTCTCCAGTAGAAAAGCAAGATTAGCATAATATTTCCTAATTCAGGCAGAGAGTACCATTGCAATAAAGTTTTCATTCCTAAAACAATATCATATTATAAGGAATTACTCCACAACATGGAAAATTTGTCACAAATGTGTAACAGTGTAAGTTAAAAAAAAAATTCTGTTGAAATTCAACCTTAAAAATTCAGGCCTGTAAATTTATAGGAAAGAAGAACAAACTCAAAAGGAAAATTATCGGTCTACCTGCTCAATGTATGGCTACTGATATAACTTCAAAACTTGAACATTCTAAGTTTCAGTACAAGTAGAAATGTTTCAGTCAGATATTGATATAATGGATCTCTACCACGAGTCAAAACTTATGGATTGATCTATATCGCTCCATAAATTCAGAGGTCCTTAGCCTGGCTGTTACTCTACATTAATCTTAAAATTTAGCAGTCACAGTGTTCTTCAAATCACAATGCATATCAATTAAGTACTGTATGCAAAGTTGCTAATAAAAAGCATGGACCAACATAACAAACAACAAAACCAAGCCCCTCCCCTTCCCCCCCAAAAAAAAAAAATCTAGACCATCAAATAACACAATTATGCGTGAAACAACCACCAATGCCATCATTTTTGTTTCTTTTCAAAATGTTGAATGCAATTTTTTTTTTTTTTTGGTTCCATTTGATTGACTCTAGTATTGGGTCAATTGGTGGGACACGATACTACACTGCCTAAATGAAATCAATCAAGAGCAGCTTTGCTATTCAGGAAAGCAACTATACCATACCATGAAGACTGTTTGGAGGTTTGTTGATGGGCAGAGAGTATTCAATCCCATTGAGAGTAAATTTCCCATCTTTGATCCTGTTTGCTACGCGACCCACAATGCAGCCAAAGTAAGGTGCAGCACCTTTCTGGTCAGACATGGATCAATCAAAAAATTACAGAATATAGACATAAATAAAATCTCAAAACCATATTTACCATCACAAAAACACAATCTTTAACACTGCAATCCAATAAAAAAAATCAAATGGGTACTTTTGTTTTCTCTCATAAAAGCAATTTTATGCAAAAACACACACACACACACAACCAATTTCCTCATGGGAACTCAAGCATATGAGGAGATATCAAAAGGGTAAACAGCAAAATATGGTATAGAACCCACCAGATATGGTTCCAGAGAGTCAAATCCAAGAACAACGTCAGCTAATTTTCCTTCAAAACCCATAAAAAAACCAATCATCAATAACAATCCTAAATTGGAAAGTTTTCAATATCAAAATAAAATAGAAGGAATGGGGAAAAAAGAGTATACCATTCTTGTCTGGTACGTACAAGGAGGTGATCGTGCAACCAAAGTTTGAGACTTTGACTTGCATGGTCCCATTGTTGAGTTCGAAGACCTCTGCTTTCTGGTTATCTGCCATTGTAGAACTGCCTTACGAGAAAGATTGACGAACTGATAGTGTTATCAGATCAGATAAAATATAGAAAGAGAGAGTTGGTGTTTCAATGGAATTGGACTCTGGTGGAAAGTGACGTAATCGTTTTGGGCTACTTTTAGAAATATATAAGAATATAAATTTACCTAAATACCCTTATATTTAAAATATTATACGTACAATGTCTTATAGAATATCAATTAGTAAATTATATCCAAAATACCGAAATTTACGGTGTGTAATACTTAAATTCATCAAGTTTAAAATTTAAAGTGTAATATTTCAAACTTGAGAGTCTAAATGTTACATACCAATAAATTTTAAGGATCTAACTATAATTTATTAATAAATTGCTGACATCAATAAATGTTATGCGTGTATAAATTTGAAGAATCTATGTATAATATTTTAAATTTCAAGAATATATAATTAAGTGATAAACATCGAAAAAATTTGGTGTAATTTTCTCATATAAGAAAGATTTGGGGGCTAGTGACCATTATTGTGTGATAAATTTGAATGATACGCCAGTAAATTGATTTACTAATATTCCTATCATAGAGATATTAGCTATTGTTTGTGCCTGAAAACACTTTGTAAATATACAAAAAAATCACAAATAATTGTCCACATTCAAAAAGAATGGCTCAAAAATATTCATACTAATTTTTCTTTTAAAATAACATGAAATATACCGTCGATTATATCCTCAATATTAATGGAATTATCATAAAAATGTACAAAAAATTCCCAAAACAACACCACATATACAAATATCTCAAAATAACACCACATATAATTTATCACCATTATCATTATTCAACCCAAAAACACAACGCAATTATAAACTCAATTACTAATTTTTCAATCCAACCCATGTAATAAATAATTCAAGCAAAAAAAAATAAATATTAATAGAACATAATTAAATTTATAATCTTTAAATAATAAATAAAATTAATCAAATTTTGCTCATTATAAAACTCATGAATTTATCACCATCATTCACCATTCAACTACAATGACAACATAATTATAAATTCAATAACCAAATATCCAATTCCCACATGTAAATATACACAAAAACACACTTACACACATTTTTTTTGATTACCGAGAAATAGTGGGTGTTATTAATAACTGCTATTAATGTTAGAAAATTGTTAAAATACCTCATAATTCTTGTCTAATTAAGTTTCTAGAAGGATGAAAATTCGTTCACACAATCCTGAAAAAACAATAAAAAATATCATATTCAACACCACACAATCATCGTCCACCCACGCCCATACTGCCAATCATGTATGCAAGAAGGATGAAAAATCTCAATCAAACTGTACTTATTGTGTTTCTTTAAAAAAATAGCAATTTCCTTTGAAACATGACCCCCAAAAAATATTAATCCGTATACACCATTTATATGCTGAGTAAAATAAAATCAAAACAAAAGTTGAATCATCGCGCAATGAGTCTTTTTTTTTTTACTACAATTTATATCCTTAGAAAACATTAAACCCAGTGGCATATCACAATAAAAAAGAAATGGTGCTTGATACTAAATTGGGTCAAGAATCGAAGGCAAAAGAAATGGTTTCAAACAATGTGAATTAAAAGCAAAACAAATGGTGTTTGCAAAGGAAACCACAACCTGTTTTTTTTTTACTTTTGGGGGAGGGGGTTTCATTCCAATAGTTATGGATGACAATTTTTTAAATACAGGTTTCAATTACTATAGGGTGACTACAAACGTGGAGTTCTTGTTTTTTTTTTTTTTTGACGAACATGGAGTTATGCTATGGTATCATTTGAAAGATTAAACCTTCTATAACATGACAGGGACTTTGAAATATAACATGTATTCAGGGAAGGAAACTACTTAGCAGATTTCTTGGCTAATAAAGAGATAGAAGATAGACTATTCAAGAGGTATGATTGTTATAAATCTCTACCATATCATAATAGAATTTTAATCAGGCAAGACTTCTTGCTGCTTAGAAATTCTTAAAAAGGATAGTAACTTCATTCATCATAAGTGGACATCATTGCTTCAAACAAAATCAAAATCAAAATAAACCACACAACTCACAACTACCATAATGCACAGTCTGATGGCCATAGCCACTACCTAATTCCAAACCAATTCAATCAAAAAACATGGGTAATGAAATTTGGGTGCCACCAAAAATTGAAATTACAACATATAAAATGTTCACCAATTCTTGATTGAATAAGATATAGATTATCTTGAAGACAATGATGTAGAGGAAACCAAACAAAATGAGGAGGAATCCAACACACCAGCTTTCAACATTTTCAACAATTGTCATTCCTTCAAAAAACAACACTCTGAGAACTAAAATGAAACCAATATGTAAATGAAAAAACGACTTTAGCTCAAGAAAAATAAAACTTAGAAGCCAAATAGCTCAATCCAAATAGAAGATTGGACCAGTGACCATCGTCGTTGTCTGATGCTTTGGCTGGTGATGACAACCTTCATGTATATTGTCCTTTACATGATGACATCTCAATATGTTTGACTTGATTTCAACTTCTTTAGATGCTCTGTTCATTCTAGGGTTATAATTTATGTTTCACAGAAAGAAAGAGGGGAGAGAGATTAGGCAGAGAGAGGCCGGAGAAGAGACATAAGTGAGAGGGAGTCGATGGAGACAGAGATGGAGAAAAGAGAGAGATTAGGCAGAGAAGTGAATAGACGAATGAGACTAGAGAGAGAGAGAGAGAGTGATAGATGGGTAGAGATAGGAGCCTATAGTCCTATCTTGAATGAGACTGGTACTAAATTTTTTGGGTCCAAAAAAAAAAAATAGAGATTAATTAGGATCATTTTTTATCAATAAACTTAAAACAATCTCTACCTTGAAAAGTTCAAGAAAATGAAAATCTAGCTACTTTATTATACTAACAATACACGACGTGCGATGCACGGAAATAAATTCAATAAAATTATTTTTATAAAAAATATAAATTATATGTGTACTTAAATTAAATAATAAATTAAGCGTCGAATAATTTATTTGTATTTTAATTATTGTTAAATTTAATTATTAATTTATTCTATAAGTTTTGAGTATCTAATATGTCATTTATTTAGGTATCTCTTCGATCTCTTTAAGCATTTGCACATCTAATTATATTATATAATTATTAATTTTTATTTTGTTACATAAATTGATTTGATTGCTTATAATATTATTATATTATTGCATACTAAAAAATAAAATATAACATATATTTGACTGTGTAATTCAACATGGTAATTACATGTATACAATATGATTTTACTTCTTTATATAGATATATATAATTGTATGTAATTGTACTATTAATAAAGAAGTTCAAAAGAATTTAGAAATCTTTATAAAAAATCCAAAATAAGTTGAAAGTTAAATAGGTATAAAAAAAAAAATTAGATGAAAGTTTATGAGTGGATATAATTGACTTTATTATAATAAATAAGAATAAAATAGAAAGTCAAAATTTTTTCACAGATGTTGATATTTATTAATATAAATAATATAGATATAGATATTGATAGATTACTGATTTATTATATAGATATCCTTTTTATTATTTCAAATGTCATTGACATTTTTATTAGATAATGTCATATAAATGTGTTAATTGGAGTACTATTTTACATAATCCATCCACCATAAAATTATAAGCAATGTTGTTGGGACATAAATTTTTTTTGACACAATTCATTATGATATTTAGATTGGCTGTGCGACCCATTAAATATTGAAACTTAATATAGATCCAATGATTTTGCTAAAATCACATCATTAGACTAATAAATTAGATCAATTTTTTAGATCCAAATAATATTGCTCTAAAATCATTTGCATTTTAACATAACTCGGATTAAACATGTGTTCCGACTTAAAAGAGCTGATAAATATTAAGGATTAGCATATTTCAAAGATGAAGAATGAAATTTGGGATGAAAATCATGTATCACCTACAAGGGTGTCCATGAGACGAGCAGGCTAGGTCCGTGAAAATTTTTTTAGGTTGGGCTTGGATAGTATAGGCACAAACTCTTAACCAAGTGAGCTATCGAGCGGGCCGGGCTAAGCTTTGAATAGGATTGGCTATTTGCAGTCCAACCCGCAAGCCTATTGGGAGGGCATGCTCACAATCTTTTTTATATGCAACTTCCTTTAAAAATAATGAATATTTTTGTAATTTAATAGTTGTATAAATTATATTTTTGACTCAAAAGTGGAGTCAAAATAGATAAAAATAAAAATAATGAATAATTTTATTTTTAATTAAGGGATGAATTACATCAAATAGAATCAATACATCTCAACTAAATTGATTTATACTCACTTATCTATTATTTGCATCACTCTACCATTTAAAACTTGTATGCTTAATATATAAAAAAAAATACATTATTTGTAGTATCTAAAATTTTAAAAATTCAAATTTCGACATTGGGAAACTTATTTCAAAGTTTTAAATTTAATAGTCTAAAAGTATAATTTTTTTTCAAAGGAAGGGTGAGCAGATGAGCCTTTAGGCCGAGTCATGGGTTTGGAGGCAAACTCAAGCCTTTTTTTAAAGGATATTTGGTTTGGGCTTGGGCGGACCAACTATCGGGTTTTGAGCCTATTTTTTCGAGCCGAGTAACGAGACCCATGGGTAACTCGACTCATGGACACCCCTAATCACCTATACAAATGAAATATTCGAGTATGAACTTACGATTAATTAACATTACAAAAAGTTAATTTGTGACTAAAGCTAAAAGATAATTGGGTTAATTGAGTATACTATTTTTATATAATCCATCTACCATAGAATGATTTACTTTTATTAATTTAACTACATTTTTATTTTGGAAGAATCACACTTTATACTTCAAAAGATTTAAGAAAATCTTTATTTTGTACTCTTAAATATTAAATTTTCTATATTATACCCTAAATGCATTAAAAGTAGGAAAACCATGCCAGAGGTTCACATTTGGGAATTTTTTGGGTTTTAGGTTCAACCTGAACACTTTTAAGGTAAAAAGTCCATAAAATCAAAACTTAACAAAATA